GGGTGTTTCAAAAAGGTACGTCATAAATTCATCCTCAGATAGATTACCAAAAAATAAGTGGATTTGGCTATATTTACCTATATGAAAAACTAACTCCCAACAAAGTTACAGGGTGTTAAACTAACATTCAGAAAAACGTTTTTTTTTGTAAAAAGTTTTTTCTTCAAAATTTTTGCCAGTGCTGTAGATTTAAAGGCCCAACATTCTACGGAGAAAATAAATTTAAAGCGACCCCGTTAAAAAAAGTTGGGGGTTGGTTACCTTTTTGACATAAAGAAACTTGCTTTATCGATCCTAAAATCAAAAAGAACTATGAATTTTTAAAATTTTATTATAGTGAAATAAACTTTGTATTTTTCTTAGTTAACGAGCTATTTACAATTTTTTAACTGAATTTCTAGAAAAATTCGTCAGTCCTAGACTTAACATATCAACAAAACTAAGAGTAGGTCAGGAGTAATTGTACAAAAAACGCAAATAAAAATCAGGCGTGTGCCTAGGGCTGTGCTTGAGCCGCCCCTGCAAAAACTGCCTCTTTTATTTATATTTTTGTAAAAAAGGTATTTATAATATTGGATTGGCGCTATAACAATGGTGTGTCACTCGTCCTTATGGGTTTACCATGCCACTGATAAAAATACACATTTGTTGGGAAATGCATTTATTAAATTGAATAGTAAATAGAAAAATTATTTTTTTAATTAAACAATTAACAAAAAGTTAACAATTAAAAATAAACATTTGGTAATAATTATTATACATATTTTATAAACAATTTAATTTAGTAAATATTCAACATGTTCTCATCCTTCTTGAATACAAAAATATAAAAAAGAGGTAGTTTTTGCAGGAGCGGTTCAAGCAAAGCCCTAGGCACACTCCTGATTTTTATATGCGAGTTTTGTACAATAGCTCCTGATCTTCTCTTAGTTTTGTTGATATGTTAAGTCCAGGATGGACGAATTGCTCTAGAAATTCAGTTAAAAAATTGTAAATAACTTGTTAAATAAGAAAGATACAAAGTTCATTTCACCATAATTTTTTTTTTAAATTTATAGTTTCTTTATGTCAAAAAAAAGTGGGGTTAAAAGGTACCCAACCCCCAATTTTTTTTAAAGGGGTTGCTTTAAATTTTTTTTCTCCTCAGAATATTAGGCCTTCAAATCTACAGCACTGGCAAAAATTTCGAAAAAAAAAATCGCAACAGCAAACTTTTTACAAAAAAAAAACGTTTTTTTAATGTTAGTTTAACACCCTGTAACTTTGTTGGGAGCCAGTTTTTGATATAGGTAAATATAGCCAAATCCACTTATTTTTGGTAATCTATCTGAGGATGAATTTATGACATACCTTTTTGAAACACCCTGTATATCTGGTATGTAAGTTAGTTGTATTGATGTGAGTTGGCCATATCGATGTGTGTTAGTTGTACATTTGCTATTTAAGTTAACTGCTATCCTTTATTATTCTTCCTCTTTTTTTTAATTATATTAAAAATACATCCCCCTAATTAATATTAGGCACTAGATCTTTATTAAATGGCTCTTCTTTAGTATGATAAATCCTCAGAATGCGATCATAAGAACAACTACTATATTCCTTATATAATAATATATCCATTACAAACAGTTACCTTATTAATTTATGATTTTGTATATCCTCTGCTCCATATATTGCCTAAGCAGCAATATAACTGTAGGCAAATAAAAAATAATTTTATACTTACATAAAAACAAAATTTAATTTTGTATTAAATAATTTATGTAAAAAGAAAGCGGCAAACTCAAATTTTACGGTTTTTCTTCCAGCCAGGAAAATACTCATTACGAAAAATTATGATAACGATAAATCTCTGGCTGATATCTTAACAAGAAACAGCAAAGACCACACTTAAACTAAAAAGTAGCGATAAATAAAACTAATGTGCCATAACCATGCAGAAATTCGGATTTGGAATGAGTCTCCGTTTTATTTATTTACATTTCTAGCCTAAATGCATATGATTCCTATTAGATTTTGCGATAACAGTCCTAGCCTCATAAAATTAATCGTCTTGGAACGATAGCTGCGCCTTCTCATGCATATTTATGTAAGTATTATTTGGCCAGTTGGAAACTTTTGTAATGGACGATTTTCGAAGGATGAATTTAATTTCAATTTTCTGATACGATATATTCAAACTAATTACAAAAGTTTGGTTGAATAAACAAACTCTTTTTTCACAGTTTCGTTCAGAATAATTTATTTTCTTTTCACAAATAAATATTAGTATTAATAATATAAACTATATATTGTTTTTATACAAGAAAATATACAATTATTAATGTCAAATTAACCAGTATAAATCAAACGAATTAAAAATATTTACGTTGGAAATTAAACTTTTTATTTTAAATTAATATATATTTGTTGACAATATTTAGTTATTTATTTATTCACGGGCCTTGCCCACTTTCAATACAAAGTTGCAAATAAAAACAAAAAAAAAGTCAGAGTCAATCTAAATAATATGTCATAATAATGATAAACTAATAAACTAACAAAAAATCATAAATATATTAAATATATTAACATGTACAAAATTGAAAAAACTAATATTAAGACTAGGGAATTTAAGTCATATTAAGTTTTAACACCCTTAAAAAAAAATCTGATGTGTCCAACACATGACTTTCCTATCTAGTTATTATAGGTTTTTTCCGGTTATTTTGTACAACCTATTGCATCACCTCTATAAATGTTTAGAAGATAAACTAAATATATACATTTTCCACATACATCTACCTCGAAACATTTTTCTATAGATATTCATTGAAAATGAAAATACTGAAAAATTTAAATTTAACACTTTTCCTACAATTTTTCCATTACGGTCCATTTTAAAAAAATCATGTAATAACAAAAATTAAAGAGATGGATATCGCAAACAACTTTTAGTTCAACAATTTTCATAAAAATCAGAATTTTACACATTTTCTCAAATTTCTCGAATACGTACCATTTCGGGAAATTTAGACATTAAGAAAAGATAGATAATAATATTAGAACTAACTTTTATTCGAACAATTTTCTTCTCCAAATATAAATAACAGATATATTCCATAAAATATAAAAACGGCCTTCCATAAAGTACTCCCCACTTTGTCCAAAATCTAATCATTTCACGTCAGGCCTAAATAAGACTTAAGTTTAAAATTTAATGTTTTCTCAAATATCTCGAATACGGTCCATTTTAGAGAAATTATGTATGGGATAAAAATTATAGAGAATTATATTACGAAACACTTTTATTTAAACAATTTTTATAAAAAAAAATTTTTTTTTACATTTTGTCAAATTTCTTGAAAACGAACCATTTTAAAAAAATTAATAATAAGGACTTACTTTCTTTTGATAGGATAACCCATCCTTTCTCAGGGATAATTTCCCTGGTGGCAGGGATATTATTAAGTAAACTCTCATGGATATCGGATACTATGCCTAAAAAATATAACTCCCGATTAAAATTGTAGTTGGAAGTCCATGTTAGAATATTTAATAAGACAATTTTATAGTGATTCATCATTTAATTCACTAAACTGTTACAGATTAGATATAGCGTAAATAGCTGAACCTGAAATGGCACAATATTTTTAGGTAAAAAGATTTTTTTTTAGAAGTTTTTTAGGTTTAAGACCAGATGTGCTTAAATAAGAAAACACGTGGGACATAAATGTAGTATCAAAACCTTACCAATAAATTAGCAGTGTTACTGGTCTTATATATTGGTTAGCACATTCAAATTTTATAGCCATAGAGATACAGAATTGTCAGAAAAGAACAAGAAATTCAGAAAAGGTAACGAAAAAAGTAAAGATACCAGCTAACAATAGAGTTTATCCCATGTTAAACCTTCCGTTTTCTTTTATACAAACCCAGGTATTTGCGTAGCAACAACCTTGTTAGAGTATATAAAAAAAATTAAAGACTTGAGGGGTAATTGTGGTAGCCTCTGTACATTATAATTAGGAGGCCGCATCATGCTGCCTCTACGCAGACCATCAGCTTATGGATGAAATTCATTTTGAGTAATTGCTATGGAGCAATTTTTCCTTTCAGAGCACATGACATATCTCTATTTTTTAAATTTTCTTGAAAGTGGGTCAATTATGACAATATAAATTTTAAACTTGTAATCAGTTAAATATAAATAAAATGTTTTATCGTATTTTTTTGTTGCAACATGCTTTAAACAGCGACATATATCTTATTTACGAGACGAGGCAGAAATATAATTATAAGATCCAACGAACTTATCTGAAGTGAAGTTCGATCTTAATTATATGATGCCTCGTCGAAGTAAATAAGTCCCAGACCCACCCAATATTTCTAAAGTCCCCTTAAGTTGCAACAGGTATGCTATGAAATGACTAAAGCAAAGTGTTGAGATGAGGGGATTGGTGGAGAAGGGAATATATCAAATAGTTCCAACTTTCAACCCTATACAGGGGGCGACATATATATTATTTACTTCGACGAGGCATCATATAATTAAGATCGAACTTCACTTCAGGTAAGTTCGTTTAATCTTATAATTATGGTGTAATATTTTGACTTCACTTACATATGATCCTGGTATATTATCAATGATATTCACATACTTTAATAATATTTTCATTAAAAATAACTATTTTGAACTTGTAAACAGACGAACAATTTCACATGGATATTGACATCGTTGTCACGTTGCACAGTGGGGCAGAATCCATTAAAATCTGGTATTAATTCAAAAATCAAAAGTGCTTTAAATACATTCGCTTTTTTGCAGAAATGTTACCAACACTCCAGCACATAAGACAACGAATGTCTCGAGACTGTAAGTCTCTCCCGCTCCTCACACCTCAGTCGTAAAAAAGGGGTAATAGAAAGTGCACGTATGCCGCCTGTTAATCCGTTTGGTTACGCGATTATAAAAAACATTGTGAATGTGGTAAATCATCTTTGTTGTTTTTTTATTTAATATGGAGACGTCAGCTGCAGGTATGTGGTAAATTTTCATAATTATTACTTAGTAAATTTGTAATTATGGTAAAAGAAAACACTTAGAAATCATAGCTGTAATATTTCATGAAAATATTGTGTTTCGCAGAGATATGTAGAGTTTTAGTTTCGTATCGAGGCATATCGAGTAGTTTTGTTTAGATGAATAAAATGTTTTGTGATTGTACAACTGGGGCACGTTCAAATTTCTTGCGATTTTTTGCAATTTTTCTTAAAAAAAAATTCTTTAAACCAAAATCATCAAAAAACGCAAAATTTGAAAACATGCCGCAGAGGCACAATAACAAAATATTTTATTCATATACATAAAATAACTCGATATGCACACATATACACTGTACATCTACATGCTTCTGAGAAAAACAAATATTTTTATGAAATATTACAATGGCGATTTCTTGGCGTAAATAGTGTTATTTTAGTCATGAGGATTTTTATTACTTGATGCTTTTTTATTTCAGGGCCTATTTATAGCACTGTAGCAATATCAAGAAGGGAACTATACGACATCTTAACAAATTCTGGTCAGAGTAAAATTAATGATCAATTCAAAATTTTAATAAGTTATCTTAAAGAACGCACAGGCTGTCCTGATACAAATTTGAAGGATATAAACAGCAAAACATACCACTTTAAATCAGAATTTAAGTCTAGATGGTTGAATGTAGGTAAATCTAGGAATAGGTTTCTTAAGAAATATGATAATTAGCTCGACACGTTAATATTTTTCACCCGCTACAGGTAGTCTATCTCAACTATGAGAGGACGTCCAACAGTTCCTTTTGAAGAGAGCAATGAGCGAACTAAGCGCAAAAAAACAGAAGACCTGCGAAAAAATAAATCTATTGCAGAGCTAAGTTTCGCCACACAGATGAGTTTAAGGGCATCAGGAAATACAGAGGCTTCCAAATTATTAAAAGACATAATTCAACATCTCCGAAACGGGCGAGCAAATATAGAAAAGCCTACAAAACTTCAATTGAGAAAGAGCCACGTCAGATGTCAGGTGAAGATGCCCTGGCTTTACTAGTAGACGCTAAGTTGTCTAGGCACCAATACAGCTTGATAAGACAGTCTAATCCGGGCAGATTTCCTTCATATAAAATATTACAAGCTGAGAAAACAAAATGTTACCCAAATAATATTAAAGTAAGTAAGACCTTCGCGAAAGTCTTGTTACAGGACCTTTTTAATCATACTGTGGAACGTTTAATAAGTGTGCAGGAGAGCGTAATATCATCATTAAATAACGAACAAGTAGAAAAACTACAGTTGATGACAAAGTGGGGCTTTCATGGCAGCTCAGGACATAGTTCCTATAAGCAGGCGTTCCATGGATTCCAAGCGAGTGATTCATCTGTATTTATAACTTCCATCGTACCACTTCGTTTAGTATGTAACCCAGATAGCAATAACTCGAAAATAGTTTGGCAGAATCCTCGCCCGTCTTCTACGAGATACTGCAGACCTCTAAAAATTGCTTTCATAAAGGAATCATCAGAAGTTTCGGTCGCAGAAAAAAATCGTGTAGATACTGAAATACAGCAGTTGCAGAACAGTAAATTAAACTCAAACAGTAGATCTATTTCAGTCAGTCACAATATGATTTTTGCAATGATAGATGGCAAGATTTGCAATGCTCTCACAGAAACAACATCTACACAGACGTGTTACATTTGCGGAGCAACGACAAAAGATTTTAATGATATTGACAAAATGATTAATAGAAAAATAACAACACAAAACTTACAATTTGGAATATCTATCCTACATGGTTGGATACGTTTTTTGAGTGTCTCCATATTTCCTATAAACTCCCAATTAAAAAGTGGCAAGCGAGAGGTGAAGATAAGGTTATAGTTGCAGAAACAAAAAAAAAATATCCAATCCAAATTTAGGGAAAAAACTGGACTAATCGTGGACTTCCCTAAGCCCGGATTTGGAAACTCTAATGACGGCAACACTGCCAGGCGGTTTTTTCTAATCCAGAAGTCTCTGCAGGAATAACCAAATTAGATGTAGAACTAATAAAAAAATGCACATTATATTGATAGTATCATGTGGGCACTCCATCAACATCGAGCGATTCCGCGAATATACACATGATACTGCCAGGCACTTCGTAAATTTGTATGGCTGGTACTGTATGCCTCCTACACTACATAAGTTTTTTATACACGGAGCAGATATAGTATCTAGTGCATTGTTGCCAATTGGCCAACTGACTGAAGAGGCGCAAGAGGCGCGTAACAAAGATTTCAAAAATTACCGCGAACAATATTCCAGGAAATGTTGCCGGGAAAAATCCAACGAAGACATTTTTAATTTGTTTTTATTGAGTTCAGACCCATTGTTGACAAGTAAGAGAAAGGAACCTAAAAAGAAACTGAAAATATACCAAAAGATGCTTTAGATCTGTTAGTGCCTCCCACAGTCACAGAGTATCAAAGTAATGAAGACGATGACGACGATGACTCATTTCTTACTGATTCTGACGACAGTCAATAATTAAAATTTAATGTTTTATGTTTTATTTACAAAATATAGACATATAATATGTATTTTGTTCTTTTAATACATGATTCATGGCATCTAAGAATTAATACCAACTTTTAAGGTATTCTGCCCCAGTGTGCGTTGTGCTAGAATTGTGAAATGATTCAAATTCTCGCAAACAGTTGATGAACTGTGGAATAAATAAAGAATAGAAATCAATATTGAAGTATCGTCTTTTTCTGATTAATTAAAATAAAATGTAATGTTTGTAAATTTTCTTAAAATTAAAATATTCTGAAATTGTTCACCTTCTCCAGTTTCAGAATTCTTTTCTCAGAGACAATCTCTCTCAGATGTACTAAAATACAGTGGTACATACTGCCGCCTCTTTTCGAAAACATAATTCATCTTTATTACGATTCAGTGTCTGTTTCCTCGAACATAAAAAGAGCGGTTCTATCCCGCCAATAGCCGAATATTACTCATGTCGTTCTGTATCCCTAGCCTTCATAATAGGTTTTGAAATTCCTTTTACCATGCCGATGGAACAATAAAGACAAAATTTATTTTCTTCTTCGGAAAATAAAAGATTTCTGTTTGTTTGTTTTTAAAGAAGTTTAAACACACATTTGGGATATTGATTGGTAAAGTGTATTGGAATAAAAGTGCGTTAGATATATTTAGCAGATTTTCGCACAAACTTTGAGAGCATTTCCATTTGTTTCTGATATTTTATCGGAATTTCATTTATCGTAATAATCACTGTATTGACGATCTGGAAATAATATTTAATAATAATCACATACGGGGGTGGGTTGGCTCAATTGGCTTAGTCAGTAGTGTAATAGATTAAACGTAAATCAAGAAGTTTATAAAGTAGGCGAATGGCAAAATAGAAGACCAAGGAGAATCTAAAACAAAATCATCAAGCGCACATACCATCCCTACGGCAAACTAAAATGGGGATAAACAAAAATTGAAACTAGTGCAAATGGAACAAAACACATAAGATAACAAACAGGAAAAAAAGGGAAAGAAGAGAACAAAAAACAAAAAATCAAGATCGAAAAATCCAAAGAACATTGTACCTAACAAACCAATTACAATATTTGTAGCATTCCCCATAATTTTGACCTAAAGGTTCAATTAGCTTTTAATTATTAGGACCTTATTATAATTAACGAAACATATAATAACATAGATTGTACTTAAATGATATTTATTTTAGTGAGGGAGAAATAAATAAAAATAATGATGTAATTATCTTTATTAGGAATAATATATCGTAAAATTATAGTTCAATTATAAATAGTCCAACTAGGGTTCAAGAAGACTATAAGGCATGTCTTGAATATTATTTGTTAAAGTAAAAAACCAGTCGATGTTGGAACACGTTATACTTTTATAATAAAAAATAACATTACAGATCAATATTCCATGGCGTAACAGTTAATTCACAATCTTAATAGTAACAAAAATCTATCTAAGCATATACAAAATATTAAAAGATACATTAATAATGAAAAATTAAAAAACAATTTCACCAAATATCTTGGAATAATATCTTCGAAATTAGTGAACCTGACTCTGTAACAAAAAAATTCGTGGACATTATAACATCCCACGTAAATCAGTGTCCAAAAAACGTTAAGGTATATAGAAGAAATTCAAAAATTGCATCCTGGATAACTAATGAACTGGTCAGAACAATACCTAATAAAAATAAAAACTACACAAACAAATAAAAAACAAGTAATAATGAATATTTGAAAAGTAAATTCAAAAATGTAAGAAATTAAAAAGTGCAAAAATACATACTATCACTATCAAAATATCATCAATAAAAATAAATCTGATCCACAGCAACATTGGAAAATTATTAATGATATGTCACATTGTAATAAAAAGAATCTTGAAATAAAATCAACAAAGGATGAAGTATAAAATTTACTAACAGATCTAACCCTAATGACTTATTAATTTAATAAAATATTCAGAGATTCACAGGCTTGGCTTGTTTTTTCAAAGCTTGGCTTGAAATCAAGCCAAGCCTTTAAAAATACCAAGCCAAGCCAAACATTTTTTTTTTCAAGGCAAGTCAAGCAATTTAAAAAAAAAAGCCTTAACTACCAAGCTTTTTCAAGCTAAGCTTTCAAGTTTTTAAAGGAATTATTAACATTAACTGTACAATAATCTACAAAATTTATTTAAAGTAACTACTTGATAATCCATATATAAGGAAATTCTTAGGATGTGCATTGAATAGAAAAAGACTCCTAAAAAGAAGAGGTGATTTAGGTAGAAAATCTTATCACTATCTATCTTCATTTATTTCTAACATATATTTCTGTATCAGTATAAGCTTATAACAGAGCTAGCACTATTTGGATTAAATTTTTTCTCCTGCGGAAAGGCTTTTTCATAAGAATCCTTGTTTACTTTGTAAATGTCTTTTTATAGACGTAGTTGCTCCATTTTTCATTTTAAGTATTGTTGATTTTCTTGTACACAAAGTGCATACTGCTGTTTTGCTCTGATCTTGACTAATTTTAAAAAATTAGAGACCTTTATGTTTTTAATTGTTTTTCGGGACTTAATTCGAATATGTTCTTCGCGAGGACAGCTAGAAGACAATCCTTCCGCTTCCTCTACCACATATTTACATCCGCTGTCTTGAAAGGATTCCTCAATATCTAATATATTGGTTGCGCTAATATTTACTTGCTTCGAAAGGCTAGCAGTGACTGAATTGAACATTCAAACAAAGGGTGGCGAGAGAACGGTTAGTAGATTTAACACGTGATCGGCAAGGTCAGGAAAAAAGTTTGAAAGCTTGATGGAGCTTGGTAAAGCTTGAAAAATCTGGTAAACGAGCCAAACCTGGACTTATAAAAATCAAGCCAAGCCAAGGTTTTTTGTTTTAAAAAAAGCTTGATTTTCAAGCCAAACCAAGCTTTCTGTTTTCAAGCCAAGCTACTTGGCTTGGCTAAACACTGAAAATATTTGTTAAAATAGGAGAAACTCTAGGAAAACATAATATCGTCGTTGATCATGAAGGAAGAAAAATCTATTTATTTCTGTTGTTTCGCATTAAACTAGTGTATAATACAAAAACAACAAAAAAAATAATAACAAAAAACCTCGGAAAAAAATCAAAGTACTAGAACAGTGTTTAATGCCAATTTATTTAAAAAACGTGGAATTTTACGAAATAGGAGATTTAAACAAACCATCTTGGGTTTATACATAGCAGAATTTTCCAAAGAATTTTAGACACATGATTTTTTAAAACCCGCTTTATTAGAAAAGGTAAAAGTTAAAAGAATATTAAACAAAAGGAATGAATAATACAAGGGATGATTAACTGAATATAAAAAAGAGTTGGTCATTAACAGTAAAAAACAAATATATTTAAATTATAAAACTTATACAAAAAATCTGATGTGTCCAACACATGACTTTCCTATCTAGTTATTACAGGCTTTTTCCGTTTATTGTGTACAACCTATTGCAGCATCTCTATAAATGTTTAGAGGATAAACTAAATATATATAAAATGTCCACATACATCTACCGCGAAACATTTTTCTATAGATATTCATTTAAAATGAAAATACTGAAAAATTTAAATTTAGCACTTTTCCTACAATTTTTCCATTACGGTCCATTTAAAAAAAATCATGTATGAACAAATATTATAGAGATCGATATCGCAAACAACTTTTATTTCAACAATTTTCATAAAAATCAGAATTTTGCACATTTTGTCAAATTTCTCGAATACGGACCATTTCAGGAAATTTTTACATAAGGCAAAAATTATAGATAATAATATTAGAAGTAACTTTTATTTGAACAATTTTCTTCTCCAAACATAAATAACAGATATATTCCATAAAATATAAAAACGGCCTCCCATAAAGTACCCCCCCAGATGTTCCGACTTTGTCCAAAATCTAATCATTTCACGTCAGGCCGAAATAAAACTTAAGTTTAAAATTTATTGATTTTTTCTTTATCCGTTTTTGAGTTTTCTTCAAATTTCGAAATTTACACATTTTCTCAAATATCTCGAATACGGTCCATTTTAGAGAAATTATCTATGGGACAAAAATTGTAGAGAATTATATTACAAACAACTTTTGTTTGAACAATTTTTATAAAAAAATAATTTTTTTTACATTTTGTCAAATTTCTCGAATACGGACTATTTTAGGAAAATTTTGTATAGAACAAAAATTATAGATAATTATATGAGAAGTAACTTTTATTTGAAGAATTTTCTTCTTCAAACGTAAATAACAGATATATTCCATAAAATATAAAAAAGACCACCCATAAAGTACCCCCCCAGATGTTCCGAC